AGGGATACTCACTGCCAAGGCCTCTGGCCTGGTGAAGGAGCTCCGGGTCCCCGGCTTGCTGCGACTCCTCCTCGACCGACTCCGCCACCGCCTCGGAGGTCTGGTCCGGTGGCGCTTCTGCCTCGGGCTGCCCGTCTCCATTGGACTGGCGGTCGTCCACCGCCAGCTGCTGCAAGCCAAACAAACTGCTCAGACTGCGGAACATCTCGCCCGCGGAGCCGCTGCTGCGGTCCCGGTCACCCGAGACCCTAGCGGGCGACGCCTTCACAACGCGCGTCTCCGGAGGAGATGGCAGGAAGTGCGACCCGGCAGCAGCTTTCTACCCGTCTCCCCGCCTCTATGGCAACGCCAACGCCGGCCGCGCGTGCGTCACTACCGGACAAAGACCCCGCCCCGCCCGTTGTTTATTTCGTTAACTCTGACGCGCGCGTGCAAAGTGGACAGTCCCGCCCCGCCCCGCCCCGCCCCGCCCCTTTTCCTCCAGCTCCAGCTTTGTAGTGACTGACCTAGGCGTGCAAACGGCATCTTGTCACTCTAAAAAGCTTGGCTGGTGACCTAGCCTCGTTTTGGCAGGTCCAGCTGGGCTGGTCCCCTGGAACTGGTATCTTTAGCTTCCTCCTGAGTCAAAATCAAAAGTAGCCCAGGCCCTCTAGTCCAACTACCAATTTACAGGAAATACAGAGGAAAGTGTCAAAGGACACCATGAAATGCAAGCAGGAGAATCTAGGCTGTGGGAAACCACAGGACAGATGACATTGTTTATTAAAATTGCAAACAAGGGGAGAAGGGGAACCTATAGATTAAAAACGCTTTCACAGACATAACCCATGGCACTTTGTGCATTTCGTTTGCATCCTAATTCAAACACATTGGGGGGAAAATATGACTTCATAAGACTTGGAAATTGGGCACTGGATAGATCATGAAATTATGGAATTGTTAAATTTTCAAAATTTTAACGTAGAATACACATAAAATTTACCACCTTAACCATTTTTAAGTGTACAGTTCAGTAGTGTTAAGTACATTCACATTGTTATGCAACCAATCTCCAAAACTCCCAACTGCAAAACTGAAATTCTGTATCCATTAACTCCTCATTCTCTCCTCTCCCCAGTCCTTGACAACCAAGCTAGCTACTTTCTGTATAAGTTTGATTACTTCAAGAACCTCATATAAGTGGAATTGTATCATATTTGTCTGTGAATGGCTTATTTCATTTAGCAAATGTCCTTGAGGCTCACGCATGTAGCATGTGTCAGAATTTCTTTTAAATTCTGCCTTAAGAAAGGCTACCTTATTAAAAAACACTTTGTAGGTTAAAACTAAATCGGATTTTCAAATATAAAATTACCTGCATACTAGGAAATAGAACTGTGTTATATAAGCAATTGGGAGAATAAGAATGAAGTTTTCTATCATTTTCATTTTATAAATTGCCACCTGTGAAAATGGTTTTTGCACATTATTTGTTTTTCTTTGCATATGAAAGAATTTTTTGTGCTATGTAAAATATGGAACCCATTGTACCTTCAGCCAGTTGAGACTGTACACAATGCTTCTTTTGTAACTGGATTCTTTTTACTTTCATGAAGGCGGTCCATGCCTGACATTCACCAACCACCTTAAATTAATTTCTTAAGGAAAAAAAAAAAGGCTACCTTAAAAAAGGCTGAATAACATTCCATTGTGTATATATCACATTTTGTTTATCCATTCGTGTGTTGATGGACATAGGGATTGCTAATTTTTAAATTGTGATAATGGAGTGTGTGTGTGTGTTTATAGAGAGCCATACTGAGATATTTACCAATGAAATGATAGGATGGCTGGCATTTGCTTCACATTAATACAGGATGGGCAGAATGAGTGGGGATATAGATGAAACAAGCCTGGCCATGGGTTGATAATTGTTGAAGCTGGGTGGTTATACTATTATGTCTGCTTTCCTATATATTTAACTTTTTCCATAACAACACGCAAATAAACAACACTGACAACAAAAACCAAACTGGCCAAATGAACAACTGCCTTTTTAGAACAGGGAGTCCATGAACTTATTTCCCAAGCACGGTCTCAAGCAATCTGTTGGCAAAGGAAACCCATTATTCCTCCTCCTCCTCCTCCCACCATTTTGAGAAGTGTAGCTTAGTTCCAGTGAGAATATGGGCAACAGATTACAATTTGATTTCTCTGCTCTCCAGTTTTCCAGCCTGAGGTATATTTGCAATTCAGGTCCAGGACTTTAGCTTAGCAAGCCCAACCTGTTTTGTTTTGTTTTCCCAAACAGCTTTATTGAGATATAATTCACATGCCATACAACTCACCGGTTTAAAGTGTACAATTAGATGGGTTTTGGTATATCGCACTATTAAGCTTTAAAATGATAGTAAATTATATATAACAAAAAATTGCCATTTTAACTACTTTCAAGTGTACAATTCAGTTGCATCAGTGACATTCCAAACTGTTTTTAGAGTCCAGGTGTTGATTCAGCCGTGAATATCAGGAGACATCTGAGGATCATTGCCTTTTTACAATTTATTAAGTCAGTGAGAACCTGAAAGTGGTCAACACTTTCCAGAAAAAGGATATTTGATTCGAGTGTGATTGGTATGAGTCTGGAATTTCAGTCAGAAGCCTAGGAAAGAGATTCTAACTCCAACAAGTAACAGGCGAATACCGTTGACTTATTTCTTTACCTCTAAAAGGAATATAGTGCTGGCCCTTCCAATAGCAGAGGTGGGCCCAGCTCATTCAGCCTTATTTTTGCTTCAGCCCTAGGAGCAACCAAAACCACGGTGAAGGCTGTGTTCCTCAGGGGACAGACAGTTTTACAATCATTCTGAAAGGTAACTTCTTCAAAATAAAAGATTTTTAAAAACTACAAACAATCAACTTAACGATGGACTTCTTTTCCACCTCTTTTTTATCCTCAACGCTATGCTGGTAGCAGGCCACGAATAAACACTTGTTGAATGAGGATGCACCCTTATCCCATAGAAATGTCAGTCTAAACCCTCTTATCAAATCGTTTTTCTTACAGCCATGCCACCCTGAACAAGCCTGACCCCATCTGATCTCAGAAGCTAAGCAGGGTCGGGCCTGGTTAGTACTTAGATGGAAGACCACCTAGAAGACCAGGTGCTGTAGTTGTAAAAAATAAAAAATAAGGGATTGAAAGCTGACAAGGTCCTTGCAGTCTGTGAGGTCAACCAAGGGTTGCCTCATCTAACAAAATAAAAAATAAATTTTAAAAAATGGTTTTTCTGCTCACTCCTGTTTAAATTACTAATACAATAGTTATAATAACCCTTTTGTATTCACAAACTATCTTTCCTTCATTAGCCTCATATATTAATAGACTAAGATAAAGATGAGGCCCTACATCCTGTGGTGAAGAGCCTGTCTTTGGGGACAGACATTTTGTACTGATGTCAAAGGAAAGTGGAGTTTGCCACCCCAAAATATGCCTTTTGAGATACTGATTACATTAAGCTGGATATTTTCAAGCAGCGAGACTCAGAAAGAACCTTTGACCATTCCCCTAACTGCCTAAAAGAATTTAGATAGAGGACCTGCTCCAAGAAGGGAGATATCACAGATAACTACAGTTTAATATAAACTAATGTGTGATAGACAGAGAGGCCCATTTCATCCAAGTCTTCTGTGTCCCATTGTTAAACGTAGCCCAGCAAACATCTATTTACCAACATTTGCTTTTCCATCTCCATGTGAATTGCCTTCCTGCCCTTTGAAGTCCCGCAAACAGCCTGCCTCCTTTCTTCTCCTTAGCTCATGATGGCATATAGCAAGCCTTAATTGCCTGATCTATCCTCAAGTCTCATATTCTTATGCAACTTCTGCATGTCCATATATAATAAATTTGGTCATTTTGTCCTGTTAATCTGTCTCACGTGAATTTGATTATTAGTCCAGCCAGAACTTAAAAGGGTAGGAAAAGTTATTTTCCCTCCCGACAATGCCCTGGCTTCGCCACTTAAATTAACCAATACACTTCACATCTCTGAGTCTCAGGTTCTTCATTACAAAAAGAAGATCCTAGTAACTGTCCTGGTTGTAAAAAGGAAATGAAGTACTGAAATGTGAAAGGAAAGCTTACATACATAATGGGTGTTAAGTATTACCATTAATGTCAACCCGTCTCACAAGCATCCTTTCCAACTGGGTCCTCTGGAAAACTTATTTCATAGCAAACTCTTCTATGCCTCCAGCCTTTTTACAAGGTGTTTCCTCCTTAAAACTTTGTTTGTTTCTTGGCTTTATGGAGACTTGGGTCTCCAAGTTACTGCTGAATGGAGCCTCTGCTCATTTTCCCGGAAGTTGACATCACTATCCCCAGCTCTTTACTGCTTCTTCCACGACATTGCTCTGTCATCCATAGGGGGGCAGAAGCTCCCTTTTGTTCTGAAATTCATTTAATTTTGCCACACAACGCTCCACCCTACCTTGCTGCTGTCATCTATTAGCTTCAGGGTCACTCTTCCATATTCACTGAAGAGTTGGTTCCTGAGCCTCAACTGACTCCTCCAAGTTCCACCGTCGTTCTTCCAGGGCCCTCGATGTCCCACACTGGCTTGGTGGGTCTAGCCCAATGCCAGTGATGCCCATCTCACCTGACTCTGAGACGGGACATCACTTGTAAAATTCTTAATCTTTTAGCAGGAAATAAAATGGGACATCTCTTGCAGAGTTAATCTTTTTAGTAAACCTAGTTGTCTTCCCTCCTTTCTTTGGAAAAAGGCTTCCTCCCTCAAATCTTGATAATTGCCCTGGTGCCTCAGATCCTCTGGCTATTGATGAGGGTCATCAGCCTATTGTTAAGCAGAAATGGTGTTAAGCCAGGCAGGGCCCTTACAGTCTGAGGTGGGGGGGAGGGGACTTTAAGCCAAAGGTCTTTCTTTTTACTCTTTAAGAAACGTATTAACCAAGCCCGTTTCCCTTTACTCACTTAACAGGCAAATCAATAATAGAAATTAATAGGTGTATGATTTAAATAACAAATTTGTATCTTCTTTTCTTTGTCTAGGGCTT